GACAGTTGAATGCCATCTTTAAAGTTTTATTTAAAAAAACTGTTAGCACAGAATTTTATTTCCAGTGGGAAAAAAATCCTTCAGGAATGATGGCAAAATGAAGATATGCTTACATGAAGGGAAACTATGAGAATTTATTGCCATCAGATCTGCTCTACAAGAAAAGGAAGTTTCTTTAAGTTGAAGGAAAATGATACCAGAGGGAAATTTGTAACTTCAGGAATGAAAGAAGAGCAAAAGAAATGGTACATATCTGGGTAATATATTTAACAGTTTTTCTTTTCTTCAGTTATTTAAAATATGCTTTGAGTGTTTAAAGCAAAACCTAGTACATTATCTGGTGAGGTGTTCCATAGATGTATAGAGGTCCAGTATATATATAACAAGTATAACATAAAAGGGGATGAAGGGACTTATGTGGTTGTGAGCCTTCTACATTTTACTTCAAGTGATAAAAATATGAACTCTATATAGACTGTGAAAAGTCAGGTATGTATGTCATAATCCCTAGATCACTTCCTGAAAAATACTACAAAATGATACAGCCTAAAAGCCAATAGGTAAATTAAAATGCAATACTAAAAAATATTCAAATGACCCAAAAAAGAAGATGGTAAAGGGGGAACAGAAGAACATAGAACTGAGGGAACAAACAGAAAACATATAATAAAATGATAGGCTTGAATCCAACCATAATGATATCAAATGTAAATGGGTAGAACACACCAATTAAAGACAGAGATGATCAGATTGGATTTTTCTAAAAAGCCCAAGTATATTCTGTTTATAAAAAACCCACTTTAAATATAATGATATAAATAGGTTAAAAATAAAAGAGTTGAAAAAGATATGCAATGAAAACATTAGTAGAAAAAAATAGAGTAGCTATATTAATATTACAAACTAGACTTCACATCAAGCAATGTTATCAGGAATAGAGAGAGACATTGCAGAATGATAAAAAAAAAAGTCATTCCAACAAGAATTCATAACAATCTTGAATGTATATGCACCTAAGAACAAAGATTTAAAATACATGAAAAAACTGATAGAACTTTCAAAATAAGAAACGCCCAAACATGTAAAAAATTTTTATAAGTTTATTTGAGCCAAAGCTGATGACAATTGCCAGAAAGCGAGATCTCAAATGCTCCAGAGAATGACAGTTTGCAGTTTGTTTCACACATCTAAAATTAAGGAGGGAGGGCTGGCCGAGTGGCACGTTGGTTAAGAGCTGGCTTGGGATGCCAGAGGGCCCCGGTTCGGATCCCACATATGAGGGCCAGTGACACTGCCCTCTACAGCTAAGATGCTGAACGGCAGCTCAACCTGGAGCTGGGCTGCTGTGAGTCACCACTAGCGACGGCGTAGGCTGCAGCCCCTGTGGCAGTGGGTTGCCATGGGCTATACCATGTGTAGCCAGCAACCAGCGTGAGCTGCCGTCCAGAAGCTGGCGACTGACCTGCCTCACCCGGGAAGAGCACAATGATTGTGCCAACTTGGGCCAGTGAAGTAACGTCCTCCACAACTAGACTGAAGAACAAAAAGACAGCAACTTGTCTGTTCCCCTTCCCCCAATTTTCCAGGGCTGTTCCCATCCCCCAATTCCCCAATTAAAAAAATCGTTAAAAAGATAAAAATTAAAATTAAATAAAATTAAGGAGAGAACTTAAGGAATATTATGTGAAGGTGGAAGGAAGCATGTGGAAATTGGATTATAAACTAGTTAAGATTATGTGCTCTCTTGAGGTTGGTCAAACCTTCCAAGGGTATTACTTCTGGCATTTCAAAGGTGTGTTCACCTAAATGCACAAGAGCAATATGCAGGGCTTGCTTAAAAGCCTTTCACTAATGAAGTTATAGGCTTAGGGCCTGACTACCTACAATGACCTACCCAGTTAGGAATTTATGATTTATCTCAGCACCCCTTTATTCTTACACAGAACTAAAAAAAGAAATAGACAGATGCACAATTATACTTGGAAATGCCTATCTCAGTAATCAACAGAACATGCAGTCAAAAAAATCAGCAAGGTGCAGCCCGCGAGAGCTACCATGAGATGCCGTGAGCAGCCATCCAATGACCGGTGACCAACTGCCTCAGCCAGGAAGAGCGCAATGATAATACCAACATGGGCCAGTGAAGTAACATCCTCCACAACTAGACTGAAGAACAAAAAGACAGCAACTTGTCTGTTCCCCTCCCCCAGTTCCCCAATTAAAAAAAAAAATCATCAAGGATATAGTAGACCTAAACAACATTATTAACAACCTTGACCTAACTGACACTATAGAACACGCCACCAAAACAGCACTAGAATAACACTTCTCAAGTACACATGGAAAATCCGCCAAGATAGATTATATTCTCAACCATAAAAGAAACTTAAATTTAAAATAATTGAAAATCCTACAAAGTATGTCTCTGAGCATAATGGAGTTTAACTAGAAATCAGCAACAGAAATATCTGAAAAATCCCCCAAATATTTGCAAAGTAAACAACACCCTTTAACTTGCAAGTTAAAGAAAAATATCTCAATGGAAATAAGAAAATATTTAAAACTGAATGAAAATGCAACATATCAAAATTTGTGGGAGACAACCAAAGCAATGCTTGGAGGCATTGGTTGCTAGTAATTGTTTAACAACAGGCTCTCTGATGTGTGTGTGGGGACTAGCCCTAATTTATAGTATTTTTTTATTTCTGTGGTGTGAATTCTCCCACCCCAGCTAATTTCAAGGTACTGAGATGACATCATTGAACACAAGGTTGGGATAGGCACAATTGACAGTCATAAGTTGCTGCAAGCTGACTCATGGTTGCCACCACCTAAAGGGAAGTTGTAGCGTTAAATGCTTGCATTAGAAAAGGTAAAAGTTCTCAAATCAAAATCTAAGCTTTGCCTTTAGAAAATGAAAAGGAAAAGCACACTAAACCCAAAGCTAGCAGAAGGAAAGAAAGCTAGCTTCAAGATAAGAGCAGAAATCAGTGAAATAAAAAGAAAACAAACAAACAGAAGATCAATGAAACCAAGAGCTGGTTCTCTGAAAAGATCAATAAAATCAATAAACTTCTAGTCATTACTAAGGAAAAAAAGAGACAAGTGATAATTTACCAATATCAGAAATGAAAATGGAGACATCATTATAGGCTCTCCTCAAATGAAAAAAGATAAAAAGGAAATAATATGAAAGATTCTACAATATATTTGACAACTCAATTGAAATGGATTAACTACTTGAAAGACTTAAAAATGTTACCATAGGCAGAAAGAACAGGGATGTGGGGAGAAAAGGGGAGGAAAAGAAGGAGGAAGTGCAGGAAACAAAGGAAGAGATGGGATCATTCTTAAGAGAAGGTGCAGTCACAGCCAACTTTAACAGATTATAATACTATTAGCATTGCAGGCAGGGAGAATTCTCCACCCCTTGTGTCACTATGATAGTTCCAAGGAAATCCATTCTCTGGACTGAAAGGAGTGGTCATCCACCTGGAACATCACCCCTCATTGTGCTGTCATTCAAATATAATCCTAAATTTCTTTGTTCTTCCGGGCAGTTGCTCTCCTTCTGGGCTTGTTCCCTTCCTTGTTTTGGGGGTGTATTCTCTTTCTTTTAATAAATCTGTTTGCTCAGCTTGCTTAGCTTTGTTTTGTGGCTTAATTTGATATGCCCCGTGGGTTTTACCAAGAACCCCTGTTCTCTGGTGTTGGGGAGCAGGTCGTTAACAAGAACTGAGACAAAGAGTTTTTGTTCCAAAGGCTTTATTTACCAAGTTGGTGTCCGTCTCATTCAAGAGAGAAACGGAGCCAAGTCCTGGCGGGTGGGGAATTTATAGCTGAAGCTGGATACAGAAGCAAAAAAAGTCGGTTAGTGAGTAAAAAGAGAAAAAAAAATTTTTAACAGAGTTAATTTATCTTCTAGCTAGCCATAAAACTTGGCAAGTTTATTTTCTTCTAAC